GGTGATAAATTGAGAAGCCCTTTTTCTTTAAGACTTCAGTATGGTTGTTACACTGTTTTTCTTCTACCATCAAAAATCATCATATCTATCTAGTGGAAATTTTCTTTGCCTACTTGATTTACATTGTGGCTTGAGAGTTTGCGGTTTACTTATTTCTAACATAACATTATCAACAATACAATCTTTTATGCCAAAAAAATTCTTAATCTCATTATCATGGTCATTACTGATTGCCTTCCAAGGCAAATGGATTGGTTTTGCATCTCTATAAAAGATTTTAGTACAAATTAAGGCAATATTCCTAACCAGTACGTTATTCCCAATTTTATTAAGATGGAGTCCATGCCTTGTAAAGAGAGCTCTATTTAAGTCATGGTGTAATAAAGTAACATGCTTAAAACCTTTGGTACGTTTCACTAATTTCCTATTAAAACTTTTATCTCATCATTTACACATGACCAATTTTCCAGGTCATACCTATGTGGAATATTCAACAGAACAATATTTGTATGAAAATTAGTTTTGATAAAATTCAGTATATTTCANATATAGATGAGCATAAATTTCACTAGTCTTATTTGCAAGGCCACAAATGTTTTGGTGATAAATTGAGAAGCCCTTTTTCTTTAAGACTTCAGTATGGTTGTTACACTGTTTTTCTTCTACCATCAAAAATCATCATATCTATCTAGTGGAAATTTTCTTTGCCTACTTGATTTACATTTGATCTTATCTACACAGTCTCTAATATGGCTATCACCAGTGAATAAAATTAAATGTTTGGTCTTATCAACTAAAAGATTTTGCTCTAGACTTGCGTTTTTGTTTAAAATTTGCATGTCTGTATCACTGTCACCACTATTAACTGCAGACAAATTTCTTTCTGAAAACTTTGAATAAGTACTGCAAGGGACACAACCATTCACTATCACAGGGATATGAAATTTGGCAACAGGTCTTCTGCTTTCTTGTATCTATTAGTCCTTGGCGAAATAGGTTCCCTTGCAGTTGAATCTTGGTTCGTTGCATTAGATTTGTGACTTCTCATCTTACTCTTCTCGATTTGCCTAGGCTGATCCTTTTCTAGGTTATGTAAGACTCGAAAACTATTTGTAGTTCTTATCATTGTTTCTGTGNCTCTGTGCTGACGCCTCCCCCCATTGGGACGATTCACCAAGAAGGAGCCTGAATAATATTTTACTTGAACGTTTTTTAATTTTTTAACTTTAAATTTTAACGTTGACGACTCGGTTTTGAGGGTGGTCCTTTAGATGCAAGTGCTATACCTGCATTCAAGATACTGGGAAGTGTTGTGCTTTACACTCCGTTATATGTAATAGTTTCCACGAATAATTACATATTGTGAATGTTGAGCTGTGCCAGTGTTTTCATGGTTTGTTATAAGTGCCTCTGAAGATGGTTCCTTGGAACCGAAACATGTAAGGCAGATGAGATAAGTGATCAAAATATACATTGTTGCACTTGACGGAAAATCTATTGACAATTAGTGATTGTTTCTGTGATTTTACTTGCGCTAACAGAATACTTCTCTTGTGAATGCACAGGTATATACGTCCAATTTTCAACACTTGGCGATAGTTGGAAAACTTCTTAATTGCTACGTGCATTTGTGACTAATCTATCCATTAATGTGTCAGTTTTTTGGTCTTCCTTCAGGACTAAGAGATTTTTCTCTTCTCTGCAGCATCCATTCCAGTTTTGGGGTACTGGGGGCTCTTCCTGGGGATAAAGCAGTTGGGGGCATGAAGCTGGCCACGCACCTCCATCTGGTGCTGAGGTTAGCAGTGGAGCTATACATCCACTTCCCCATATGTATTCATGGCATGACAATTAATTAAGCACATGGACAACTTTACCTTTACATTAACTTGGGGAAGTACACACTACACATTTGTCCAGCAAATCAACAGAATATTTCAGAAAAGGATATAAAATAAACTTATGTATGTACCTTGCCCTGTTGTACCTAATGATACAGAGGTATCGTTAGGTACAACACTTCAATCCAGTCTTTGGCTTGAACTTTGGTCTGATTGTATCCTATACCTTTCCTTTTCATGTTCTGAATACCCTCCTCCAAGGTTTGTCTGGGTCTCACTTTTGGTCATTATCCTTCATATCTTGCCTCCCATACTGCATAGAACATAATAAGAGAGCAATGTGATGTACATACAATATATGGAACTCTCCATGCAAGTGACTCTGTTAGTAGTGTGAATTTATTGCTCACGTTCTTCTCTTGTGTTTTTCATGCTCATTGCAGGAAAGCATGATTTGATTTATCCTTGCTATGTACATTTGCGCTGATCGCAACACATCTCCCACGTATCTTTTCAACAGTATGTATTGTATTCTCAAACATCTTCCAGGACAGATTAATATTTAACATTTGCTCCTCCCTTGCATATGAAGAAAATATGTTCTAGTGTTTCCTGCATGTGCACTTTACACATGTACTGCATCACATTCAGATTTCTAATTGTGACTAATACTTCTACAAAGGGCTTCAAAAATATAATGTATAACTTCTAGCCAGGATACAAAATGCTCTTATCTGTAGTATTGAAGTGTGATTTAAATACATTTCTGTGTAGCCAAATTTTAAAATTCACCACCAACTGTTTAGATTTGGGAACAAAAATAATGCATACTTTCATTTTCTTTCTGCACCTCACACATGATAATACAGTAAGACTTTTTCTTGCAAGAGACTTAAAGCTTACACAATTAATACAGAAACTTTATAATTTAATTCTGTCATGGTCTTGTACTCTATCAAGTATGTTTTTTTTTTTTTTTTGTTAAATAATACCACTTAAGCCACTGCTGGAATCCTGTGTAGAAGTACTGGGTTGTTTTACCAGTAATACAGGAAGACTTGTGCTTAGAAGTTACCCAGTTTGAATCTTGGGACAGATTACTAGCTTTCCTTCTGAGATTTTTCATAATTTTGCTCAGTCTCTCCAGACATATTTGCTACCATTCAAACAGGACATTACTGCCTTCTTCCAAACCTTTATCTATTAACCATGCATAAGATGTTCTGTATCACATACCCACACTAAGAAATATATTGAACAAGCAATGGTTTCGCAGTTTTGTATGCATTGACTAATATGATTGGTTTATATTTGAGATCATGAAATTGATGGTCATCTTCTGTGTGATTCACTGTTGATCGATTCATATCCCTGAACACATTTTTACATTTCTGAGACTGAACAGGTTGGCTTAAACAGTGATACCGATGTGTATTCTCAAGGTGTCTGGTCCAGATCTCAGACAGACACTGCCTATCCTAAGGTTTTTATTGTTTTTATCAGATCCTCCATGGAAATGCTAGAATAGTACTTTAAATTAAGTCAGATTCCTTCCATATCCATTCTAGTTCATTATTCTTCATCATTCATACATTCAGTACTATATAATCTTGAGTTACAGGGCCAGAAAATAAAGTGGGGTGTACAAAAAATGCATCTCTCAGATACTTAATATTGAGATAAACAGCTGTCTTAAAAATGCTCTTGTTCATGTCATAGATGAGTGAGTGTTTCATCTAAAGAAACAGAAGCTTGTTTTTTCACTTTATTGTTTTTGGTCAGATAATATATCCATAATAGATGTGTTGCTTCACTTTGATATGATAGAAGTGTACTGAAATTAATTTGTGAATCAAATGGTGGGGTTATTATGTCCTACTCCTTTGTCATAATTCACACATCATCAAAATTAGCATTCAAACCAAACTCCCTCAGCTGACACTCAGCCAAGATCAGGATGTTTCCTGATATTTTCAACTGGACAGGGTGGTCTAGAGGTCATGCTGTAGACTGGTATTGAGGAGGTGTTTGTTTTTCAATCCTGGCTGGGACAGTGGCTGTCCTGACTGAGGTTTTTGTCATTTTCCTCAGCTGCTCCAAGCAAATGTTGGGATAATACTCTAATAAGGCCACAACTATTTTCTTCCAAATCCTTTCCTAGTCATTGTTCATCAACCATCCTGCCATCTGATTTTATATAGTTTCTGATATTGAAAGCATTGTTAAATAACCCTCAAAAGAACGAAAGTAAACCTTTTGTTATTAAGTTGCCCGGTGAACAAACTTTTAAGCTACTTTTTTTTTTTTTTTTTTTCGGTTTTGTTCGTCACATTATTTACATACCCTCTAGAACTGAGACATTGAACATGTCATTAAGATATGAATTCTAGCATAGATTTTGTAAAGTGGTAATCATATTTGTAGTACAGTTGTTTATGTTAAAATGTAGAGGTTTCCACCAGACATATTTATGCAGTACTTATATTATCACTATTAGCAACAAGAAGAGGCTGGTTTGTAGGATTGTCAGAGGTCACAAAGTAGTAGTATTTGCAGACTTATAAATTTGCAGTATTCATATGAGGGGTGAGCCATAAAAGCAGGCCTCGTACTGTGACCTTCAGTGATCTATTGTGCTTCCCCTTTGGATTAACCCTTTATTAATCCTACACTTCGAATGAAATGTAGGACTTTATTTATGAGGGCATCATAAAAGTCACTTGGTTCCATGAAGAATTGACCCAGGTAGCAATATCTTAGGTACACTATAGCCTCACAATCACATAAGATGTGTGTGGCTGATTCATCTTGTAGGCACCTTTCACAAGTTGGGTTGTCTGTCCATAAATTTGGAGTTGAGGCTGTTCTTGTAAATAGATGGGTAATGATATTGTAGGGATTTAATGGTTAAGCTATTAAGCTTTTAATTCACAGTGGTTACTATATACCATCTACTTTAACATCAAAATGTGCTCTGTACTGCAATAGCATATTGTATTTCATATGATTCTGAGAGTAAACAGCAGTTATTTCTCTGGACTGCATAAATCTCTTGGCCCTCACAGTGGAGACTCAGCATGTTTCGTCTGAGATAGAACCGCAGTTTTTAAATATTATTCGGAATAAACTCTTGCTTCATTGTATTTTTTTTTTTTGCAGATTTTGACAGGCGATACTTTTGGGCATGGACAGATTTTATGTCATATGTGGATTTTATGCTGTTGTTCACAATCATTTGTTCCATACTGATGTATCTGTTTATTGACCATATACCATTTGTGGAGCTGGTTGGCTTTCTAGCGGTTTTCACTGAAGCTCTCTTGGGTGTACCCCAAATGCTGTGTAATTACCAGAATAAATCCACAGAAGGAATGAGGTGAGAAATGTATTAGGAGAAGTAATTCCATTATTGTGTGTAGTAGGATGAATGCTAGGGACAAACATATTTATTATCTTTACAAGAAAGTTAAGGAAATTCCTGTCCTTCAGGTAGGAAATTGTTTACAAAACATCAGTCAGTTTACTATCACTATGTTTCTTCCGTGATTTAGTGACAGTTTTTCAAATGCATGCGTTATACAGAGCCAGTAGCAATGTGATGATGAATGTTGATTTGGGAAGGAAGTGAGCATGGCCTATTTTAAGGTTCTATCCTTGGATCTTTTGAGTTGAGGAAGGTATATGTAAACCATAATTGGAGCACTAGAGTTCAAACCCAGGACCTTCTAGGTGTGAAGCAACAGTGTTAGCTAACCCTGCTATCCTGTGACATTTATTATTTTACTACTCTTTTGTATACCTGTGAAGTATGATGTCTTATACTGAAGAAATAACATAATTTACAAGTTTCAGAAATATATTTGTACCTTAGAGAGATGAAGTATGTGCAGAATGGTTGTATTACATAATCAGGAATTTTGTGACTTATGTAGGTCACAGAGTATTTTAGTAATCAAATGTAAGAGGTTACTTTGTTGAGGAAAAATTATGTAATTTTTATTTGATTGAAATTTAGAATTTCTTTGACTTTCAAATATTTTCAAAAGATTTATTATTAATTCTTGTGTTTTTGGATTTTTGTGCATTTATCTTTAGACTGTTATATTTCCATGCTGTTTATTGTTTTAATTAGTGTGCCTTTGCTAAAAACATGTATGCTGGTGTTCTCATGCTTGATTTTATCCACAGAGTTGATGCATACAGTGCACTAGTAGATGTAAACTTTTGACAAGTTTACCAATACAAATTCTTTGTATGCTGGTGCATATTGGCTGAAAGAAACAACTGGTTTTAAGTGTGTGTACATGAGGAGGGCTAATCATGGTAGCTGAGTGGTCTAAGGCATGGACTGTCTTTGCTCACTCAGAAGCTGGGATCATGGGTTCGAATCCCACACAAGACATGGATGTTTTGTATGTGTGTGTGTGTGTTTATTCTGTGTTTTTGTTGCCCTGTGTTTAGGCAGAGGCCTAGCGCCGAGCCCATCACACATCCAAGGAATCCTACCATCTGTAAAATGATCATGAAACTGAAAATCGGAGGCCAGGGCCAAAGGGGACTGTAGAGCCAGGAAAAAAAAAAACCCAAGGAGAGAAACACTTCTTCCTGTATCTTCACCAGTCATTACAAGAGGGAGATGAAATATGAATCAATATAAAGTGGCCATCCATTCAGTTGTATTCCAAGCCTTACTTAGGGTGTATCTCATATTCTCCCCGCTTATTTCTTTGTGATGTGTATCATCTCATACCAGCCTTGATGATGAAAGCACGTGCTGCTATAATCCAGATTTTTATTTAGCTGTGTTGGGAGTTACAGCCTGAGAAGATTTACTAAATTATATTTATCCTAAAGTTTCAGGTCTTATATTTCAAAACATTCTTCCAATCATATAATAGTTCTACAAAGGTAATTATATGTTCTTGATTGCAGTTTGAAAATGGTGGTAATGTGGGCTATGGGCGACACATTCAAAACGGGTTACTTCCTAATTCGGGAAGCTCCAGCACAATTTTGGCTGTGTGGAGGTCTACAAGTTTGTATAGATGCCTTCATATTATGCCAGGTTTACTGGTACAGGAACAATCCTGGTGTTCGAAGCAAGAAACAAGACACACCTGACTAGCCTTCTTTAAGTCTTTCACAAAGCAAATATTTTTTTATAACTTTTCATACTTTCTTCCATTGGTGCTGACATACTGCTAAATCTCCATAAATATTTTCCTTGTATTTTAACTGTGTAGAATAAAGTTTCTTTACTAATTTATTTGACACTTAAAATATGAAAATAAATAGTGTTTTAATTTAAATTAATGGTGCATTACAGTGACCATTTTCATCCTTCCTTGCTCTTGGTTTAACAGCTCAGGGTGAGCTTTGGTCTCTTGAACAGTTTGCCTCCATTCTTCTCTATTATTCATCTTTCCTCCCCATTCTTTCACTTTCATTTTACAGGGATCTTGAACAATCTGCCTCCATTCTTCTCTATTATTCATCTTTCCTCCCCATTCTTTCACTTTCATTTTACAGAGATCATCATGTACAACCTCCAACAATCTCAGCTCCTTCGTTGATGTCAATTTCTGTTCAGTCCTGCATCCGAGGCTGCTTGTCTGGTTTCTGAACAATTTATTTTTTAGCGTGTGAGGTTGTTAGCTTCACGCCCAACCCCCAACCTGGAGGATCAGGGTATCCCTCTTCATCTGGCTCTTGGTCTTTGACCTGTCTGGCATGTGTGACCCTACCACTAGCTATGCTACCGCTGGCATAGCTCTCAGGATTTCAGAAGCACTCAAAACTCCACCACCACAATAAGATGAAGACACCATCGGTGGGAATGACCATTTTCTACATGACCAGAAATCATTTTCTTATCCCTTTTGGGCCCAAGTCGTCAGGAATACCTACATATTAGGGATTTGTTGAAAGTTAAAAATATGGAATTAAGTCTTCTTGTGCTATCAACTGTGTAAAAATAAGAGTCCAGTGTTTCAGGGACTGATGCTACTGCACATTGTATTTATACCCTCAGTGTGCTCTTGGCTGTCCCGGCACCGGCTACTGTGGTTACAGTGAGCAGATTCATTCAATGATTGCCAGAGAAAGTTTTGGCTGTGACCATTTTCATGGAAGCTTAAAGCCATAAAATATATGTGAGTGGTGTAATAAATATTTTTCATTATTTTTCTTAATTTTCTTCTACCTCATCTTCCTCCCCTTTTATCTTCTTTTTTACTCCTCTCTCTCTCTCATGTATGTGTGTTATGATATGATGCTCTCTCTCTCATGCCTATGTGTTATGATGTGATGAGAACTACTCATAAATAATATCCATATCCCGTCCGATGAAATTGTGCATATGGTTCCTGATAGGGAAACCAGTTTCCTGCCATTGGAAATGTGTGGCAGGTTTTGTGTTAATGCACATACTGTAACACTTGAAAGTAAATTGTGTCAGTAGTGTATATTTAATTTTTACTATTTGTATTTAATAACGATTTTTTTCAACTTGCAGTATAATCATCTGTATGGCAGTCAGTGATCATGGTTTTATATGAATTGTCAGGCCATCCTTATTCTGTTCTGACTATTATGGCATTTACTTTTATTTCTTATGTAAAAAATGATCATTTTACAAGATTACTGTTTTTGGAAAACACATTTTTGTGGCATATATCACACTAGGGTTGTCCGTATGCATTTACATTGGTCTAGGTACCATGTCTAGCAAAATAGGAAAATCACATTCATTCATTTTCAAACAAGGACATGCATGCTGTTTCAGGAGAAATGTTAAGCCCTATCTCTGCAGTGTTAATTTTTTCTATTAAGGTACATTTTTATGAACAACTACAGGTTTGGGTACACAGGTACTTACTTAGGGGTTTCCTGTATCTGCTGATATCTTGTTTTCAATAGTGTAGTGAAACTTTTCAAAAGTGACAGTGAAAGCACCGAAAGAATTTAGAAGATGGAAATGAAATGTAGTTATCGCAGGCAGATAGTCTAATATAATTTTGAATTGCTTCATTTTTGGTCTGTTACACTATCAATCACAAAGTCAGTAGAAAGTTCGTCGAGTGTAACAATGTTTTTAGGTCACTTCTTTATCACATTTGCCTTACATGTTTCGGTTTAATAAAACCATCATCAGAGGCACATATTACAAACACATGAAAACACTGGCATTGTTTAAATGTACACAGTATATATGCTGCGTGGACGCTGCTACAAATGTCGATGTGTAAAAGCACAACACTTGCTAGGAATATTGAATGCACGTTCAACTCTCGCATTCCATCCGAAATTGCCCTCAAATTAAACCGTCAATGTTAAAATATTTAAAAGTTTAAAACATTTGAAGTAAAATGTTAGGCTCCTCCTTGTTAATTCATCCCGATGATGGGAGATGTCAGCTTGAGGTTGTATAGGCTTATGGTCAGATGTTTCCTATGCGTTGTGTGTGACACAACTTGATTATCAGTTTGCAGATCTAGATTCTTTATTGATTTGGTTTTCTGTAGTTGTGCAGTCAGTGTGGAGACTGTCTATGAGCTGAACAGCTGGAGTTCAATTAAAAGAGATGGTTCAAGGCAGCTCAGTCATTATAGTGACTGGCTACTGGCATATAATCAGAGTTCAGTCACAAGAGGTGAGCTGAGATAACTGAATCAGTATAGTGACTGCCTACAGGCTGCCTTCCTGAAGTACAGTTACAAGAGAGTAGCCAGAATAAGTTGGTTATTTGGTACTCCACTCCACTGATTTGTGCTCCATGCCAAAATATACACACGCACATGCACACACACGTTATTTCCTTATAGGTGGCCCCATCATGTGTCTGCATTAGTGAAAACTGCTTAATCCTCTTTAAGTTGTGTCTGAAATAAAAACAGTATCAACTTGACAAATACTATAGTAGCAAATACCAGAGAACAAGAAATTGTTTAGTCACAAATTCTGTCTTCTGGGCTGTGATGCTGTATAGTCTGGTGAAAGTCAACCAGTATTTCAGAAAATCATATTACTTCCACCTTCAGCCCTGAAGATGGAGATGGGGTGTTCATCTGTCATGCTGGTTGACTTTCACTGGACTGCATGTTATTACATCCCAGAAGATAGAACTCTTAATAACCACTGCTCTGAGAACCTTAAGTCCTGTAATGTCTAGTGAAGTTCCAGGGAAAACATTCTGTCTTCTGGGGTTCCTAAGGCCTTGTCTGAAAAATATAAGTAAAAATTAAGGTTTTAAAATGAAGATGCTATGCATTTTGCTGATAAATAATGTTAACAAATGCTGAAATTTAACCACTGCAGTTCTCTTTAATGATCTGATTATCAGTTCCAGTATGTGATTGTGAAAGAGATGATTAAATATAGCCAAAAGTAAAGGAGTATAGAAGCTGAATTTGACATTAAAGTTTGATTTTTTCCCGTGGTCTCAGGCGCACACCAGGGAGGGGGGCACTCACTAGCCTGGAACCACTTCTGTAAACAGTATAAACATTTGTTTTTATTGTTTGAAATGGAAATATCACTATGCAAGACCTCCTGTTTACTTCTTCTGCCGACAAACACCGAGAGGATAAGAACTGTATTCTGAAGTTATAATGTGAAATCCAAATGAAGCAAGCAAACAGAATCATACGGTTTTCATTTGCAGGGTACGATTCAAACAATTTGATAGTCGTGATTGTGCCCCTCTCTGTTTATTACATACACTGGATAATGGTAGTTTCTCCTGAGAGATTTCTTGTCAACACTTGACAGAACAATATGAGTATATGTTTGGCTTAATAGTGATCCAGGTGCTTAGGGTGACTGGAAGTTGTACCCCCCCACCCCAGCAAGTTGTTACTCCTACAAGATACACCTGTCTTGCTGATAATTGGTGGAACAGTACAAAGTCGGCTCTACCATAGTTTAAGTGGTTAGTCACTGGCTATCCACCATATCAGCCCGGGTTCGATCATAGATCAGGTCATGGGATTTGTGGTAAACAATGTGGCACTGGGATATTTTTTCAAGTACCTTGGTTACCGTGCCATTCCAACAAATGTACCATACTGTTTTATCATCCAGGGCTGGTATAATAGGCTAATTAGTGGCCGACGTCTTAAGTGGGCCCACCCCACAAAATAAAAAAAAAATTATTACGAAGTCCATCTTTGATACGTCCTGAAACAACCGCACTGCCCTCAGTATGTGCAGTCTAAATTTGAGTTACAGTGGCCAGATATTCTGGCTGATGTTAGCACCGTCTTCCTACATCGTATCGTTATCTATTGCCATTTGTCTAGTGTTATTTTCCGTAGAGACCATTCATTCAGAGTGTACTACCTCATCGCTCTGAGGAGCCAACAGAACACTTCAACGGACGTCATCTATGTTTATCAGTTATCCGAATATGACGTCGACGATACGCAGAAGGGGAGGACATTGGTACATCACAGCAGTCAATTTTTCCATCGCGTTTATCGGGGAAACATGGCGCAGACTCAATCTGATTGGGATTGATTCTCATCGCGGATTCTTATGCTATGACGTAAGCGAGAGCGTGTAAAGGCCATAGCATCAACCGTATTGTCTAATCAGCAGTCTGGTTTGTTTGCCTTTTTCACAAACCAATAATAGCATCTAGTATTGAAAAAACACAAAATTCAGATTTTAAGAAGCTTTTTAAATGCGATTTTTTTTTATGAAAGTGACATCTGGTGATAAAACACCCGCTGATAAATCCTCCATTAAGCATAATCGTACTACTACCCATCATCAGACCGTGCAGCGCCCTATCGGGACACAGTGTTACCATTTTAAGCTCTTTTAGATATGCATATTTCGTGAAAGTGACATCGGATGGCAGAGAAATACCTGTCAGGACTTGGTGACAGATCCGTCTGGGAGCAGAATTGTACTGCCTGTAAACAGAGCTTTATCATTCTAATGTGTTACTACACGTACAATGTCACGCAGCAACATTACGGTTTTATCGTATAGAGAGAGTAGGCGGTACATTACGATCATATACCTGTATTCATGTCACGCTGCAGTACATTTCACGTACTGACCACTTGCGGCAGCACTGTGCTCTAACATGTGCTGCTGGAACTATAAGATGTACTTAGATGTATCGACTTAACAGAGAAAGGAAGGAATAAGATAAAGGAAATGCAACAGCCGGGGTGAATGAGGATGTGGATACTAAAGAAAAGAGTCCCTGTTGAATTTCAATGGGCTTTTCCGCCTGTGAATGTGAGGAGACTGTCTGCCTGTCCGTCCGACCATGTTTCGACTACAACTTCACAGATTTTGACGAAATTTTGTATATGGGAGTCCACGCAGGAAGTGATCCGGTGAATTTGATTTCGAACTGACACCTTGGATGTCCCGCAATGTAATTCGGTGGATAGGTAAAAAAGTTTTGGAGTAACTTGCTCCCTTCATTTCAAGGCACAAAAAGATGGAGGTAGCGCTTGTTTCGAAAGATCGGTACCAATCTACCAAAATTAGGCGGTATCAGATCCCGTAAGAAATAAGTCTGATCTTCATAGTCAAGTTTAATTTCAGTTCATAGACATGCCTTTCTTTTGCGCGATGCTCCCCCCCCCATTTTCTTCTTCTTATTCTTTTGAATTCAATAAGTTGTATTCAAATCAAAATTAGGTTCGACAAATTTTGGTGTAGACCAACAGTACCGGATTTTATCGAAATCCACTAAGTAATTTAAAATGTGAAACGTTCGAACGGGCAAAGAGGCACGACTTCTCCAACACGCGTTCGTGTTTAGAAGTAAAGCTCCACGCCTTGCATACGAGTGCCGGTTCCAAGTGGTTAGGAGGCTGGCGGTGAAGCGAGATCTAGACGTGGTGGGGAGACCACTGCAGATATCACTGTCAGGATTTGAACCCCGGCCGGTCGTCTGTCCCTGTCTCTTTGTTGCTTGAACTAGCGTTCGGGGAGGAGGGGATACCCTGACCCCTGGCATCGACTATTCAAATTCCAAAACGTTTTCAGTTTCGGCGACTTTGATTTGAACATTTTTTTCAGCATAGTGTCTATTTAACTAAATAAGCAAGAGAGCATTTGTTTGCTGTGTCATGTTAGTAGGTTTACAGCATGTTTTTGTCTATATGAAATTCCAGGAAGAATCGTAAAGAATGTATCTGAGATACACATGCTCTATTTTCAAAATAACCGACGCGTAAAATCATTTAGTACGAAGTTTATTCGAGGCAAGCCAAAAAAATAAAATTTCTTATTGCAAATCTTCAGTTCTTGCTCTGCTAAAACGGATGGGACTTTCACTGACACAACGGACAGCGCACCTTCGAGAAAATCTCTTTGTAAATGAGTCGATCAGTTGGTTAGTTACTACTGAATTTTTGTTGGCACGCCTGAAAGGAAAAGTCCCTTAGGAGACTTAGGATATATATAAATAATGGCAGACAGTACCTGACTGTGCATGTATATTAATGCCGTTTCCACCCCGTAATGAATGTGTGTATTGGAAACTGTGTCATCAGGAGAACGTAACCCAATCCATTATTATAACGGAGAAACGAAGGAACGAGATAAAAGGAAGTAGGAGTGGGGTGTAGAGTGAAGATGCGAAAGAAATGATCCCCCCTTTTAATTAAACTGACTTTAGACTAGCTGTATTAAAATAAATCTTAAAGAAATGGGATGTAAGTATGCGGACTTGATTCCTCTAATAATTCAGTGGCGGGCTGCTAATGAACAGTCGGGTTTCACAAAAGGCGGGAAATTTATGACTAGCTGAGTGAGTTTATCAAGGTCTGTGCTGCAGGAGATTTCTTTTATTGCTAGTGGGGTGGGACTAAGTCCCTTGCACTGCGGCCACTTCTGGCCTATTGTACCAGCCCCAGATGATAGGTGAGGGTGATTGTGGAGCAATTGGTGGGATGAAGATTGGCAGGGGAAACCGAAGTACTCGGAGAAAACCTGCCCCAGCGCCACTTTCTCCACCACAAATCCCACTTGACCAGACCCGGGATCGAACCCGGGCCACCGCGGTGGGAAGCCAATGACTAACCGCTTGAGCTATGGCGCGCCCTGCTGTAGGAGTTAGTTACGATTTGTCGGTTACTTGTTAAGTTGGTTGGTTTAATTACGTAATTGATAAGACGTCGTTAAATCTAGGCAGTACTTTGATGTTGTGTTTCGTAACAGCTCAGAACGTCTGCGTAGGAGGTCCATAGCTTTGTTGCATGCAGCATCAGCCGGGGTTCGCAGCTAACATTGATCGCCAGCTGGGGGCCCTGCGCATTGTCTGCTCTGTGCGGCTCTACTCCACAGACGGATATGGGACGTCAAGACAAGCGGGCGGCCGTTCAGCTACCTGTTTTCCTATCCTCCTTGACACGACTGGGACGCCCCCTTTGACTTGCACGGCTTAACTGGTAAGTTTTGGTATTACCTTATGTAGATACAGTACGGCAATCAAACGATGCAGTTCTTGATGTGTGTCTGTCATTTCTCGTTGGTCATTGTCAGCAAAGAAATGGTTACAAAACAATGCTTGAGAAATGGAATCAATTTCCTAAATTTTGTAACAGATGTTGCGTACTTTACGGTAGCGTGGCTGTCATTCTTCAGTTATATTCTGTTTATCTTTACCATGGATGAGGATAACATATTCGTATATAAAATTTTCGTTTATCTGGCAAACAAAACGTACACGGAAAGTGATGTTGAACAGGATTTAATTTGTAGGGCTACTAAGAGAGGAATCAGGTCGGAACACTTGTCACCCAGAACGTGACGGTATGAATGAAAATGAATGAATTAGGCTTAGTTTTACTTACGTTACTGCATTTACCTTAATATAAGTACACGAGACTAACTGGATGGTTTCTATTTTCATCCCAAATTTTTGTTTTATGATCAATTCTTTTATAAGCTCGACACGTTTCGGAATTCTGACTTCTTCTACGACTGAGAGAGCTGAAGTTTCTAGGGCTATCAGCTGTGTCAACTAAAAATAACCGACGTTTCATGGACCACCTCTGTTCCTATCATCAGCGTCCCAAAAAAGTAGGCCACTTTTTAGCTAACTGACATGGCTGATAGCCGTGGAAGATTTCATGATCTTCAAGAGACTCTTCAGTGTGTCACTTAGGCGATAATTTACGCTAAACTTCTAGTGTCAGTTTATGGGCATCTTCGTATTGTAGTTATGACCCACAGTGTATTAACATATGCATCGTTTTTGGACTAAATAGATTTAAAATAGTTTACCAAAATTTGTTTAAATCCACTGTAGTTCTAATGTTAAATGTTGTTTCTATAAAATATCTTTATGGCCATGGCCCCTTGTGGCAGCCATCCGTCACTTCCCAGTCTCTTGCGTTCGCCATTTTTCTTCTATCAATGCGCTTAATTGCTTGCCGATCGAGTCTTGTTGTCCTTCCATGTCACTGTTGACCCATGTTTCTAGAAATATTACTCTGCTTATTTCTGTGCCCAGAGTTCTTCATGCATATGCTTCGCAGCACTTTCTTCTGTATCTAACAGGAAAGTCGTATCTCCTACAGAAATCGAGCTTCTGCAGTATTGTCCAACGTCATCGTTCGTCTGTGTCTCTTATTACTAAAGCTAGGCCAATATCCACACAATTGATAAACTCACTGACATTAAGTGAACCTACTTTATTGCTGCTACTGGTCCGTCAGCAATAGACGGAGACCCGCTATTCATTCGTTCATTCATCAAGGGCTCTACAGCCCTTTGTTGGGCAATGGCCGACTTTTCAGTTTCCTAATCTTATATACAGTCATTGGGGACACGCGTAGTTGGTTGAGGGGCTATACTACAAGCCGGAAGGTCGCGGGGTCAAGTCCCGATGAGGTCATTGGATTTTTTTCAGTTGACCTAATCCTTCCAGCCGCACTAGGCCCTGGGGTCTACTCAGCCTCTAACAGAAAAGAGTACCAGGAATTAATTTAATAATTTTCCTGGGGAACAAAACGCGGCCGGCGCGTAAGGCTGACAACCTTACCGCCATCTTTGAGCCAATTGTCTAGAGAGTGTGGGACCCTCAACGTCTCACAACCCTATGGGCCTTCACGGCATGTTACAGGGATAGCTTTACTTACTTTTTTATATACAGTCATTAGGACTCCTTGGACGGCGGATCGGCCCCTCGCAAGGCCGCTACCTACACACAGAACAGCACAAACACAAAACAAACGCACACAGACAGCCATGCCTCGAATGGGATTCGAACCCGAGACCCCAGTGTTATTAATTGAATATTAATTTGTTCCTGCATTATAGTCTTATAACTTTCACATTTTTTAAACACTTGCCTTTTGGAACAAAATTACACATTTTATCCCAATGGCGGTTTTTAATATAATAAAACACGAAACGTTTCACGGATCCCAAATATGGACTTCCTTATTGATGTGATGTTAACATGTGATTATTATAAAGGCAAACAATTTTACATTACGAAAAATCTTTCCAGCTAACGTATTTCCTTCTATCCCATCTGCTACCTTGTTGCTAGGACGCTAAATAAGTTACCGTATTTACGCATGTATAGGCCGCAGCACAATTTTCAGACAGAAATTATAGAAAAAATAATTTTCTTGGAATATTATTTCAGGAGTAGAACACTCTGTATTACTAATTATGAATATAATTTTTTTTAAATGAAGTGTGATTTCGAATATTTCGAATATAAGCCGCACCCCAGTTTTCATCTTGAATTTTTGGCAAAAAATGTGCGGCCTATACATGCGTAAATACGATATATAGAGGCATATGTTGTGATATGACGGCCGAAAGCAGGAATAATGGAACAGGAAGGGCAATGAAACTATACGGAACAATAAAGGAACTGCTAAAAACGGTGTTTTATGTGTGGTCCTCGCCAAAGCCATATAACGAGGACCTACGGGAAATAGGAGGCTTACACCGTGTGGAGGCGGGGTCGAATACCTCCACCGTGACCTTGCGTAGGAGGCGACGAAAAGGGAAGTCCCAAATCTGAGACAGTAAAATATGGTAGCGAGTCTCAAGGGACTCGGACCCGAGAAAGACCCCCTGGCAAGTGCCAGCAGCATATGCAAAAGACAGACCCGTCCTCTCGTCAGAGAGGGCACCCCACAAAAATATAACCTTAATTGTCAAACGGTAATAAATAATATCTGAAGACTTACTGACTGACTGACTGACCGTCAGTCGCAATATGACTTTGACTTTGACTTTTGAATGAGAGGCTTAAACTTGGTGGTGGTCAAGGTTACGACCGTTAAGTGACTAAGATACCGTTATAGCACAAGATACGTAAGATAGGCATGTTCTTTGCAAAGCCTGGACTGACAGAGAATTTGTATATAGTGCAAAATGAAGAATTTTCAATAACATGTTATATGTGTAATATGTAAACTTGACAAAAGACCAAGCATATTCATAAGAGAGAAACCCATCCTCTCTTCAGAGAGGATGTCACAAAAGGACTATGGTCGAAAGGGTTCTGTTAAAAATAAAATATGTTGTCATGAGCCTCAAGGTGCTTGGTGCCAAGACGAATAGTTTGGCGGTAAACCGCCAGTCGCAAAGTAACTTTGACTTCTGGCCTCGCCATTGCTCAAGCTGTTAGTCGCTGGCTTCCCACCTCGGCGGCCCGGGTTCGATCCCGGGTCTAGTCAAGTGGGATTTGTGGTGCACAAAGTGGCGCTGAGGCAGGTTTTCTCCGAGTACTTCGGTCTCCCCTGCCAATCTTCATTCAATCAATTGCTCCACAATCACCCTCACCTATCATCTGGGGCTGGTACAATAGGCCAGAAGTGGCCGCGGTACAAGGGACTTAGTCCCACCCCACTAGCAATAAAAGAAAAAACTTTGACTTCTACTTAAGTTAGTCGGAGATCAGAGTCGGCGGTTAGGATTCGTGAGTTGCAAATGAGCAGTGGAAATTCGTGGTTGGCCGTGAGAATTTCCATTGTTAGCAACCGTTACTTGGCAAAAAGTCGTGACGACAGGATACAGTTGGAGTATAGATAGCGTGCATAAATTAGTGAGACGGTTATAATTATTTTTAGTTACGATTTACAAGCTTTCAGTAAATCCAGTTATCAATCCAAATCCCATAACCAGTCTCTAGCACGTGACAATATGTTCGGATTTTATTCATATTTCGAATTTCAGGCTTCTCCGTCCGAAGTCGGTGACCTGTTATTATGAACGTTTTCGTTCCAAACATACGGGCACTTCAAGTAAGTTTCCAAAACCAAAACGGCAATTTTTATCCAGTCATCAGTCCTGATGTTATTGCTGCGTTGGATGGTCATATCCGGGCAAACCGATGGACCACTGTGGAAGAAATTGTTCTTTTGATGGGAATAAGTCACAGTTCCGTACACACCACAAAATCTGCGCGCAGTTGATTCCACACCAACTCACGGAGGAACAGAAGACTCAGAGAATGGCTGCATCACTGGGTCACTTGCAACGATACCATGAGGAAGAGTATGCTTTTCTGTCCTGTATTGCCACTGTGGACGAAACTTGGTGCTACCATTTTGAACCCATGAGCAAACGGCAGAGCCAACAGTGGAAACAAATGAATTCTCCCCCACCGAAGAAATCCAAAGCCGTACGTACATACAAGTTCCAGTAAAGTGGTGATGACGTTCTTCTTCGACTGAAAGAGACCTCTGCTTGTCGAATTTCTCGAGCATGGGGCCACAATCAGTGCACCGCGCTATGAAAAACACTTTGCAGAAACTGAGACGTGCCATAAAGTCAAAACGCCCTGGAATGCTATCGAACGGCATTATCCTTCTTCATGATAATGCGCACCCCCACACTCCCAACTCTGTGAGTAATGCGCTACAGAGATTTGGTTGGGAAGTGCTTCAGCATCCCCCCTACAGCCCAGATCTCTGCCCATGTGATTTTCACATTTTTGGAGACCCGAAGAGAGACATTCGTGGACATCGGTTTGCATCGGACGAAGACGTGTGTGACTGGGTAAAGTTGTGGTTCCGTAGGCAGCCCACAAGCTTTTTCAAGGATGGGACTGACCACCTTATCTCCCAGTGAGATAAATGTATTAACAGTTTTGGAGATTACTTTTGAGGTAAGAAATGTTCTTTAATATGTTTTGGCTTCTGATCAGTTTTCATTTGACTGCCCCTCATAGATATGACACCTGCTCTTTAATATAGCAATGAAATTTCGGATTCCATAAAAGGAAATGGAGTTCTTGACTAGCTGGACGACTATTAGCTTCTCAAGAACGGCTCTACTCCATGGAAATGTATGTATAAAGCATAATTATACCGTGGACAAGAGCAACATAAGAAGAACGGCGCCTAAACTCAGAAGACGACTTTTTTCATAGTCATCGCCGTGAGAAACCTCAAAACTTACATAGTATTCCTGTATG